CGTTGTGTATTCGTTTTAGTCTTAGGAAGGCAGCCCCCCGTCCCCCTTCAATTCCCCACCCGTGAAATTTCAGATATCCAAAGTAGGGTTCTGGTGAGGTAGAAGGGTTTGCATGTGGTCATGCCCGGGGTTTCCTTTTTTGTGGGTGTAGTCAGTGACACGAGTAGAAGGTAGCGTTGCTGTTCTTGCGATGGTTGGTGGGCAGAATTGTGCTGCATGCAATTCCGATGTGCCGTGCGGAGACATGTGAAATATTTAAGACATGGTTTCCTTCCAGACATGGTCGAGGTTTTACTTACCGCCTCAGTCTTTGTGAGGATGACATGTTTGGGTGCAGGGGTCCAGCCAGTGCAGATACCTTGCCATCAATTTGGATTTGAAATTATTTGGTTTCAAATCCAACATGGAGATGACACTTACTTGAGGCATTCAAAATTGAAGGCAAAATTTCTGGGAATCAGATAGGATTCTCACCAATTTAGGAGAAAAAATGAAGAAACACATATTCTCTTTTCAGGAAGTGGATGGGAATAGGAAACAGTTTTACATTTGGGAACCATTGTTTGAAGCAGTGCTTTATCGGAGCAACGTGGGTACTGACAAAATCCTGCAGATGTTTCTTAAACCGCTTCCCCCCTTTTGTTGTTGCTGATAGTTTCTGGTCAGCGGGGCATGGAAGTTCCACAGGTACGGGTGCATCAGAGTGACCCCTACCGAGAACTGCGGCAGATCTGTCTTTACATCCTCCTGCGCAACTCTGCAAGATTGCTGGTGGCATTCAACGCCGACACACTTCCGGCAGAATTGGAATCTGAGCGAAGGAGGATTTGGCGTTTTTGAACCGCCGATGTCGGTGGTTCAGGGACGGCGTAGTTGTTGGACATCGCAAGTCTCGCTGGGGATATCAAACCAAGTTGCACTTTTACTTGTTTTCATTTACCCTCTACACTGAACAAAATTCCTAAAACCATCATTTCAAGAAGATCGACCGGCCACAATCAGAAAGCAGCAGCACATGTGTCGATGAAATGCCAGGCTTATTTGCACTCATGACTTCATGAATTCACAGTGTGTACTGTATATTGAATCGTGAGATTTTTATGCGCGTCTGAGCCAAGGAAAGCCTTGCAATCTCTATCAAGGTGCGAAAGGAGTTTTTCCAAGTGCTGCAGGAGTGCGGGGGGGCAAGAAACGAACCAGAACCAAGTAATGGTGGCATATGCACAAATTTGATTGGCAGGGTTTCCTCAAACTATCCTCGCGAACCTGCGGACAGTGCATCCTGAGGAGATGAATTCCAGCAAGATGTCGCTATGGTCCACAGATGATATGGTGGCATATATGCCTGTGAGTTTGGTGGCAGGGTGGTGTTGCATGTTGGAGTTAGACACCTTGATTCCTGGGAGTTCCCTTGTGACTCGGCAGTAAATCCAGCTGGTCAATGCCGGGTGGTTGGGGATGATTCTTGCGATGTTTCACCATCCGCCATGGTGAATCTAGAGATGAATTCCACGAAAAACAAGGTCATCCCTGCTGCTTGCGCATGCATCGGGCTGATGGCTGGCTACATGGACGGCTTCAAGTCTCTGGTCAACAGGTGGGACCGCATGGCATGTAGCAAACATGTCACATGTTTTTGAAACCGGAACTTACCCGAATTTGGTGTACAACGCTGATAAGGAAGGAAACCACTTTATATAAAGGGGATCGAATTGGTTTCTGGTAATGTCATGTAATGTCCGGAGTTGTGTTGGAGGTGTCTCTGCAGGACCATCCAGTGACTCCAGTCTTTGGCTGAAGATATGGGTAGTTGCAGCGACCATGGCAGGTTCCCCCCGCCTCCAAAAGACGTGACCTGCGACTCTATCTATTGGGATGTCGACGAGGCAAGTCTGATCGAATTGAAGGTTTCTGCATGTTTCTGCCAAGTGCAACTGCTGCACATGAAAAAACACCTATCGCAAGGGTGACGGAAACCATCTTTTTTCCTAGCGTTGGCTTTTGTTTGGGCATTCTGAATTTAAGTGTGGCGGATGACTCTATCAGATTCTATCAGCTATGACGCAAACATCAAAATCGACACGAACAGCTATCATACGGGATCACATGATTAATTTTTTTGCTGTCTTGCCAGGAACCTCCAAGTGATGAGAAGGTGGTGTCAGATCCCAATCCACCTGAAACTTGACAGAATCATTTCTGTGCGGATGGAAAGGGCATGGAAGGCACTCAGAGTCGGCACGCCTTAACGTCGGCACTGCTGAGGTGTTTGATGATGATCCTGAATGGGTACCGGACTTTCGGTTTTTCGCAGGTGATGATGACCCCATCAGCAACCAGCCGTTCGGATTGAATTGGAGATTTGCGGCTGGTGCGGCGTGGAAATCCCTGTTCTAATTTCAACAGCAAGCATTGTCGTCAATAGCCTCCATCCTCCCTTACCTTTTTGCCGAATCACCTGCTTCACAAAGGCTAGACGACGGGCCCCCGGCCGAAGTGAATGCTGCTGAAAATGCTGCAGATGAGGCTGTGAGGCCCCAAGGACAGCAGAACTCCCCAGGGGTTGCATTGAGAATGAAGAAAAGCTTGGTCAGATGATCTTTTGCACATCCAAACCATTGCAATCTGGGTTTGAAAATCGGGTAAACCCCAAAAACAGGAGACCCCAAAACTTGATGGTAGTTTAAAGTCTATTTTGAATCTATCTACTGTATAAATCTGTATAATGTATTTATATTTACATTGAAGCTCCGTTTTGAGGTATTCCTCTGAGTCACAGCTCCAGGACATGCTGTGCGCCGATCGCAGCAGAAAGACACCTTTCGGACTCGGAGGCGGACTCGGATTCGGCGGATTCGGTTTCCATGATTTTCCTCCTCGTTTTCCTGCGTTTTCCTCGTTTTTTTTGGCTTCGAAGTTCTTTGAAGATACATGAATTTACTGTAGATTTTACTGTACTTACTTTGATCTCAGTGGTCTCAGTATGAGTCTCAGTCCAAAAAAGTAGTGCCAAGTTCAAGCTTCGAAGGGCTCAGTTTCTCACATCCCACCTTTTCAGGGGACAGCGATGAAAGCCCAAACTGAGCTGAGGGAAGGCTTGCCACGCTGAGCTCGTGCATATGCACGACGTAAGCAAAACCTTTGTGTTTAAAGAGCGGCGATACACACATGCAATATCATGCAATCATATGATATCATATGCACCCCATGCATCTCTGCACATGTTTTACTCACACACACATATATTATATAATTATATATATATACAGACAGACATATATACAGACGTACTCAGGATATTTGCAACATGTTGCAACAAAATGCATCAAATGACATTGTACTGCTTAGACCGTCTAGCCGCTGAAATTGACCGCGGGGACCACTCTCCAGTCCCCCAGCTGGTCCGTGGTTCATTGGTCGACACAGCTGCCGACTAGCTGAATCGTTTAACGGTAGCTCCCGTAGAACCTCTTGTGTTAGCAGCTGTTAGCATGTTTGACTGCGGTCGGCTTTGAAGAGTTCTCATGCAGAAAACCACATTCTTCCATTTCGAACCTATTTGTTTGAAGCTTCATACCTCTGTACCTCAGTCAAAGATTGCCGGAGTATAGTCGCTAGCTCCTTCACGTGTCAAGCCCAGCCACGACGGCTATGTCGGGTTTGCAGTACAGTGAAGAATCTAGACTTTGTGACGTTTGTGACACGTATTCCTCGAGTATGTCACTGCCAGGAGTCAGAATGGGCGTGAGTTCATGGCGCTGGTGTTGAGTGCTTTAAAGTGCACGAGGATTCCGTTGTGCCAGCTCCGCACCCAGTTTCTGACCCATTCATGACAGAAAAGCCGGCCAGGCAGAGCGTTAAGCGATACTGATCGAACTGGTGCGAGTGATCTTTAAAAAAGTGCCAATTGTTGACTGTGGGGCACATCAGATCGAAATCATCAGAACGCATCTGCTTGCCGGGTCGCCCAGTAGGCTTGCAAGATGGCTCTTGCCAGACACTTCCATTTGCGGTTGTCGCTAAATCAGCACCGCCGCAGCCTTGACTCTTGATGCCAGTCAAGTCAAAAGACAACTATACATGAACTAATAACTAATACATGAACTAATGGCACACGACTCACAGTTATCTCCGAAGTATCAGCCTTTGCATTGCGTTTGTTTTGGTCCATTGCTGCAAGAGTCATTGGATTACGGGGAACCATTTTGTGTTGGCCCCAGAGCAATGAGCTTGTGCAGCCAAAAAGCAGACCGTGACATGCCCAGTGTCGCACATGGCGACGTCAGCAACACGTAGAAGATGGTAATCGAAATAGGATTCATTAGATTTTATTAGCAATATTTTTTCAATGTTGAAGAGGCTCATGTATTTACAGGGGCTAGCTGAAGTGCATGGGCCTTTTGAAGATTCAACATCCAAACTGGACAAGTGCCTCAATTTTTTCCGCAATTCGTTGGTAGGTTGAGATGCATATTGTGACATATTGTGACGAAAGCTTGCAGAGAAGTACTTTAGGATACTGGAGACGGAGGCTTCAACGATGATTTCTTGAAAGCCATGCACCTTTGGGGACCTGCCACTGATGCCACTGATGCCACTGATGCCACTGATGCCACTGATGCCACTGATGCCACTGGTGCTGGGTTGAGCGCAGGTTGTAGCGATCTTTTGGGACACAACGCGACGGAGATTTCTGCTTCCAAGGTGAGCGCCAAGCAGGGTACGATGTCTGTTTCAAGTGATGTAAGTAGGGATAAGCAGGGTATGCCCGACATGAATTTAGGGTTGTAGGGTTGAATTTTTCTTGCTGTGCTAATCATCCTAATCACCTGGCTCAGGTTGCAATCAGTTTGCGAACATATGTCAAGGGTTTTCTAAGGACCTGTTTCCTCAGGTCTTTCCAGTGACTGGCAGCGCAAAATGACCACGAACAAATTGCAAGATCCGCGCTGATGTGTCCATTTGGATTGATAGACTTGACATGGCCGACATGGCTGACATGGCTGACATGGCTGACATGGCTGCTTTAAAGCCTGAATTTTAGGTGAATCCCTTTGTGCGACCTTGTGCGCCTCAGCATGACGATACGTACAGTTCCGCAGGCATTACTAATACTGTGAAACTTGACATTTGAATCGGAGTCCCAAGATGATCAGTGGGATGCACCGAAATGCCTGAAGCCTTTGTCGTATTAGAGCTGTGTGCCTGGTTGTGGCCTCTTTCTCGTGAGCCCTCAAGTACTAAAGCAGTCCGTGCCGTTCGCTTTCACTTGCAACTTTCTGAGAGCCATGCGCGAGCTCGTGCACGTCCAGGGCGGCCAGTGCGGAAATCAGATTGGTGCCAAGTTCTGGGAAGTCATTGCGGATGAACACGGCATTGACCCAACTGGAACATACCATGGAGACTCTGACCTGCAGCTCGAAACTTGGTAGCGGATGTTTGACGTGTGTTGAATGCTTTGAGCTCCAGATTCTTCGAGATGAGTATTAGTAGACATGGCAGATTGAATTCGAATGGAATCGACTAGACCCTACTGTATGATAGAGTATCTAATTTGTATCTTTAGAAGGATGTTAGAGCATTGTTTCCGCAGTTTTTCTATGTTTTTCTTCTACTTGTATATCCTTGATGTCTGTGATTTGCTTTCCTTGACTGCATTGCTGCAAGGAGCGCATCAACGTTTACTTCAACGAGGCAACAGGTGGCCGCTATGTGCCACGTGCTGTTCTGATGGACCTCGAGCCAGGTGCATTGACCACTGCAAAGCTGAAGCATGATTCAAGATGTTTTCAGTAAGTACATCTCAGCTGACGTAGGGCAATGACTTTCGGCAGCACACTCACACATGTCTGATGTAGGAATTGAATGGAATTGATGTCTCATTGGAGTAACATCTGCCAACATTCTTGGTAACCAAAACCCGAATAAGCTCTGAGGTTTTTGTGTTGCTGTCCTGATTGCTTCAGACCGACAGATGTTGTTGCAGGCACCATGGATAGCGTTCGTGCCGGACCTTTCGGCCAACTGTTCCGCCCGGACAACTTCGTGTTCGGGCAGACAGGTGCTGGAAATAATTGGGCGAAGGCCAGGTTTGCAGCATTTTGCATTGCTTCAAGTTGCTTTCATGGAACTCAGACGTTTTCAGGTTCTTGAAATCAAAGTGAAACAAAGTGAGTCAATGCGAACAAGAGTTGAAACCTGTCAGGGTCACTATACGGAAGGCGCTGAGTTGATTGACTCTGTGCTGGATGTGGTCCGAAAAGAAGCTGAGGGTTGTGATTGCTTACAGGGATTCCAACTTTGCCACTCTCTTGGCGGCGGCACTGGCGCTGGCATGGGAACATTGTTGATCTCCAAAGTGCGCGAAGAATATCCAGATCGCATCATGGAAACATTTTCCGTGATTCCATCTCCAAAGGTGTCCGACACAGTGGTGGAACCATACAATGCACTCTTCATTTGTTGAGCAAAACTTTTGGATTGCTTTCTGATTTTGCACTTGAAGACCTGAGGGATGCTTTGTCCCAAAAGAACGGATAGAGTATAGAGTATGATAGAGTACATAACAATCCTTCAAAGGAATTGCTTTAGCTTGATTCTATGTCATAAGTCATACTCAAGTCACCCGAGCAACGTGACGAAGGCAGTGTTGAGCTTCCACCAGCTGGTGGAGAACTCCGATGAGTCCTTCTTGTTGGACAACGAAGCTTTGTACGATATTTGTTTCCGCACGTTGAAACTGACTACCCCAACTTACGGTGACCTGAACCATTTGGTGTCTGCGGCAATGAGCGGTGTGACCTGCTGCTTGCGCTTCCCTGGACAGCTGAACTGCGACTTGCGCAAGATTGCAGTGAACTTGGTGCCGTTCCCACGTCTGCACTTCTTCATGACAGGCTTCGCACCATTGACTTCTCGCGGTTCGCAGCAGTATCGTGCACTGACAGTGCCAGAGTTGACGCAGCAGATGCTGAGTCGTTGAATACCTTGCTTTTTGTGTTGGTTTTCTTTGGTTTTCTTATCTTTAAAGGCCACTCTTCCTTTTTGCTCACTCACATATACAAAGGTATAATATGGTGTATAATGGTATATAATGGTATAATATTGTATATATATATACAAATACACATAGACTATATAGAGTTTTGGAATTTGAAAGGGTTTGGAAGGTGATTCATCCCCAAAGTACATTAGAAGGTTTAGATCAGCTTGGAAAAGATGTTGCATTTTCTCGAGGGTCCTTCGGACAGCAAGGATGTTTGATGCCAAGAACATGATGTGCGCAGCTGATCCTCGCCATGGCCGCTACTTGACTGCGGCAGCCCTCTTCCGTGGACGTATGTCGACCAAGGAAGTGGACGAACAGATGCTGAATGTTCAGAATAAGAACTCGTCTTACTTTGTTGAGTGGATCCCCAACAACATCAAGGCATCCGTGTGCGATATCCCGCCAAAGGGCTTGAAGATGGCCGTTGCCTTTGCAGGCAACTCTACTGCCATTCAAGAAATGTTCAAGAGGGTGGCGGAGTACTTCACTGCCATGTTCCGCCGCAAGGCCTTCTTGCATTGGTACACTGGTGAAGGTATGGATGAAATGGAGTTCACTGAAGCAGAGTCCAACATGAATGATTTGGTCTCTGAGTACCAGCAGTACCAGGATGCTACTGCTGAAGAAGAGGGTGAATTCGATGAGGAAGAGGGGGAATACGATGGATGAGCCAGACATAAAAATGTACTTGGCAAATTCCTCATGGGATAGCCCGTCTCGGCAATCCTGCAGCCGACCGAGCAAGAAAAAGTATGATTCTGTCCATGAGCCCATGAGCTGTGTTGGTGCCATTGGTTGTCGGCCGTGAATTGCCAAGCATCAAAGTGACAATTATACATGTGTCACCCTCAACTAGAATTTCCTCTGGTGTCCCAGATCAGGGTGTAAATGCAGGCAATGGTTTCAGAGGTTCTTTTTTTTCTCAGCTAGACTTGGTGGAGTTGAAGAAGTGAAACGACCTTTGCACCTTAGTTTGGATCTTGGCATCTTTCTCGTGAGCCCTCAAGTACTAAAGCAGTCCGTGCCGTTCGCTTTCACTTGCAACTTTCTGAGAGCCATGCGCGAGCTCGTGCACGTCCAGGGCGGCCAGTGCGGAAATCAGATTGGTGCCAAGTTTTGGGAAGTCATTGCGGATGAACACGGCATTGACCCAACTGGAACATACCATGGAGACTCTGACCTGCAGCTCGAAACTTGGTAGCGGATGTTTGACGTGTGTTGAATGCTTTGAGCTCTAGATTCTTCGAGATGAGTATTAGTAGACATGGCAGATTGAATTCGAATGGAATTGACTAGACCCTAAGATAGAGTATCTAATTTGTGTCTTAGAAGGATGTTAGAGCATTGTTTCTGCAGTTTTTCTATGTTTTTCTTCTACGTGTATATCCTTGATGTCTGTGATTTGCTTTCCTTGACTGCATTGCTGCAAGGAGCGCGTCAACGTTTACTTCAACGAGGCAACAGGTGGCCGCTATGTGCCACGTGCTGTTCTGATGGACCTCGAGCCAGGTGCATTGACCACTGCAAAGCTGAAGCATGATTCAAGATGTTTTCAGTAAGTACATCTCAGCTGACGTAGGGCAATGACTTTCAGCAGCACACTCACACATGTCGGATGTAGGAACTTAATGGAATTGATGTCTCATTGGAGTAACATCTGCCAACATTCTTGGTAACCAAAACCCGAATAAGCTCTGAGGTTTTTGTGTTGCTGTCTTGATTGCTTCAGACCGACAGATGTTGTTACAGGCACCATGGATAGCGTTCGTGCCGGACCTTTCGGCCAACTGTTCCGCCCGGACAACTTCGTGTTCGGGCAGACAGGTGCTGGAAACAATTGGGCGAAGGCCAGGTTTGCAGCATTTTTGCATTGCTTCAAGTTGCTTTCATGGAACTCAGACGTTTTCAGGTTCTTGAAATCAAAGTGAAACAAAGTGAGTCAATGCGAACAAGAGTTGAAACCTGTCAGGGTCACTATACGGAAGGCGCTGAGTTGATTGACTCTGTGCTGGATGTGGTCCGAAAAGAAGCTGAGGGTTGTGATTGCTTACAGGGATTCCAACTTTGCCACTCTCTTGGCGGCGGCACTGGCGCTGGCATGGGAACATTGTTGATCTCCAAAGTGCGCGAAGAATATCCAGATCGCATCATGGAAACATTTTCCGTGATTCCATCTCCAAAGGTGTCCGACACAGTGGTGGAACCATACAATGCACTCTTCATTTGTTGAGCAAAACTTTTGGATTGCTTTCTGATTTTGCACATGAAGATCTGAGGGATGCTTTGTCCCAAAAGAACGGATAGAGTATGATAGAGTACATAACAATCCTTCAAAGGAATTGCTTTAGCTTGATTCTATGTCATAAGTCATACTCAAGTCACCCGAGCAACGTGACGAAGGCAGTGTTGAGCTTCCACCAGCTGGTGGAGAACTCCGATGAGTCCTTCTTGTTGGACAACGAAGCTTTGTACGATATTTGTTTCCGCACGTTGAAACTGACTACCCCAACTTACGGTGACCTGAACCATTTGGTGTCTGCGGCAATGAGCGGTGTGACCTGCTGCTTGCGCTTCCCTGGACAGCTGAACTGCGACTTGCGCAAGATTGCAGTGAACTTGGTGCCGTTCCCACGTCTGCACTTCTTCATGACAGGCTTCGCACCATTGACTTCTCGCGGTTCGCAGCAGTATCGTGCACTGACAGTGCCAGAGTTGACGCAGCAGATGCTGAGTCGTTGAATACCTTGCTTTTTGTGTTGGTTTTCTTTGGTTTTCTTATCTTTAAAGGCCACTCTTCCTTTTTGCTCACTCACATACATACGTAGGTATTTATGTATGTATATACATAATATATATATATATATACACATACACATAGACTAGGTAGAGTTTTCGAGATTGAAAGGGTTTGGAAGGTGATTCATCCCCAAAGTACATGAGAAGGTTTAGATCAGATCAGCTTGGAAAAGATGTTGCATTTTCTCGAGGGTCCTTCGGAAAGCAAGGATGTTTGATGCCAAGAACATGATGTGCGCAGCTGATCCTCGCCATGGCCGCTACTTGACTGCGGCAGCCCTCTTCCGTGGACGTATGTCGACCAAGGAAGTGGACGAACAGATGCTGAATGTTCAGAATAAGAACTCGTCTTACTTTGTTGAGTGGATCCCCAACAACATCAAGGCATCCGTGTGCGATATCCCGCCAAAGGGCTTGAAGATGGCCGTTGCCTTTGCAGGCAACTCTACTGCCATTCAAGAAATGTTCAAGAGGGTGGCGGAGTACTTCACTGCCATGTTCCGCCGCAAGGCCTTCTTGCATTGGTACACTGGTGAAGGTATGGATGAAATGGAGTTCACTGAAGCAGAGTCCAACATGAATGATTTGGTCTCTGAGTACCAGCAGTACCAGGATGCTACTGCTGAAGAAGAGGGTGAATTCGATGAGGAAGAGGGGGAATACGATGGATGAGCCAGGATAAAAAATGTACTTGGCAGATTCCTCATGGGATAGCCCGTCTCGGCAATCCTGCAGCCGACCGAGCAAGAAAAAGTATGATTCTGTCCATGAGCCCATGAGCTGTGTTGGTGCCATTGGTTGTCGGCCGTGAATTGCCAAGCATCAAAGTGACAATTATACATGTGTCACCCTCAACTAGAATTTCCTCTGGTGTCCCAGATCAGGGTGTAAATGCAGGCAATGGTTTCAGAGGTTCTTTTTTTTCTCAGCTAGACTTGGTGGAGTTGAAGAAGTGAAACGACCTTTGCACCTTAGTTTGGATCTTGGCATCTTTCTCGTGAGCCCTCAAGTACTAAAGCAGTCCGTGCCGTTCGCTTTCACTTGCAACTTTCTGAGAGCCATGCGCGAGCTCGTGCACGTCCAGGGCGGCCAGTGCGGAAATCAGATTGGTGCCAAGTTCTGGGAAGTCATTGCGGATGAACACGGCATTGACCCAACTGGAACATACCATGGAGACTCTGACCTGCAGCTCGAAACTTGGTAGCGGATGTTTGACGTGTGTTGAATGCTTTGAGCTCTAGATTCTTCGAGATGAGTATTAGTAGACATGGCAGATTGAATTCGAATGGAATCGACTAGACCCTACTGTAAGATAGAGTATCTAATTTGTATCTTTAGAAGGATGTTAGAGCATTGTTTCCGCAGTTTTTCTATGTTTTTCTTCTACTTGTATATCCTTGATGTCTGTGATTTGCTTTCCTTGACTGCTGCAAGGAGCGCATCAACGTTTACTTCAACGAGGCAACAGGTGGCCGCTATGTGCCACGTGCTGTTCTGATGGACCTCGAGCCAGGTGCATTGACCACTGCAAAGCTGAAGCATGATTCAAGATGTTTTCAGCAAGTACATCTCAGCTGACGTAGGGCAATGACTTTCGGCAGCACACTCACACATGTCTGATGTAGGAATTGAATGGAATTGATGTCTCATTGGAGTAACATCTGCCAACATTCTTGGTAACCAAAACCCGAATAAGCTCTGAGGTTTTTGTGTTGCTGTCCGCTGTCCTGATTGCTTCAGACCGACAGATGTTGTTGCAGGCACCATGGATAGCGTTCGTGCCGGACCTTTCGGCCAACTGTTCCGCCCGGACAACTTCGTGTTCGGGCAGACAGGTGCTGGAAATAATTGGGCGAAGGCCAGGTTTGCAGCATTTTGCATTGCTTCAAGTTGCTTTCATGGAACTCAGACGTTTTCAGGTTCTTGAAATCAAAGTGAAACAAAGTGAGTCAATGCGAACACGAGTTGAAACCTGTCAGGGTCACTATACGGAAGGCGCTGAGTTGATTGACTCTGTGCTGGATGTGGTCCGAAAAGAAGCTGAGGGTTGTGATTGCTTACAGGGATTCCAACTTTGCCACTCTCTTGGCGGCGGCACTGGCGCTGGCATGGGAACATTGTTGATCTCCAAAGTGCGCGAAGAATATCCAGATCGCATCATGGAAACATTTTCCGTGATTCCATCTCCAAAGGTGTCCGACACAGTGGTGGAACCATACAATGCACTCTTCATTTGTTGAGCAAAACTTTTGGATTGCTTTCTGATTTTGCACTTGAAGATCTGAGGGATGCTTTGTCCCAAAAGAACGGATAGAGTATAGAGTATGATAGAGTACATAACAATCCTTCAAAGGAATTGCTTTAGCTTGATTCTATGTCATAAGTCATACTCAAGTCACCCGAGCAACGTGACGAAGGCAGTGTTGAGCTTCCACCAGCTGGTGGAGAACTCCGATGAGTCCTTCTTGTTGGACAACGAAGCTTTGTACGATATTTGTTTCCGCACGTTGAAACTGACTACCCCAACTTACGGTGACCTGAACCATTTGGTGTCTGCGGCAATGAGCGGTGTGACCTGCTGCTTGCGCTTCCCTGGACAGCTGAACTGCGACTTGCGCAAGATTGCAGTGAACTTGGTGCCGTTCCCGCGTCTGCACTTCTTCATGACAGGCTTCGCACCATTGACTTCTCGCGGTTCGCAGCAGTATCGTGCACTGACAGTGCCAGAGTTGACGCAGCAGATGCTGAGTCGTTGAATACCTTGCTTTTTGTGTCGGTTTTCTTTGGTTTTCTTATCTTTAAAGGCCACTCTTCCTTTTTGCTCACTCACATACATACGTAGGTATTTATGTATGTATATACATATATATATATATACACAGATACACATAGACTAGGTAGAGTTTTCGAGATTGAAAGGGTTTGGAAGGTGATTCATCCCCAAAGTACATGAGAAGGTTTAGATCAGCTTGGAAAAGATGTTGCATTTTCTCAAGGGTCCTTCGGAAAGCAAGGATGTTTGATGCCAAGAACATGATGTGCGCAGCTGATCCTCGCCATGGCCGCTACTTGACTGCGGCAGCCCTCTTCCGTGGACGTATGTCGACCAAGGAAGTGGACGAACAGATGCTGAATGTTCAGAATAAGAACTCGTCTTACTTTGTTGAGTGGATCCCCAACAACATCAAGGCATCCGTGTGCGATATCCCGCCAAAGGGCTTGAAGATGGCCGTTGCCTTTGCAGGCAACTCTACTGCCATTCAAGAAATGTTCAAGAGGGTGGCGGAGTACTTCACTGCCATGTTCCGCCGCAAGGCCTTCTTGCATTGGTACACTGGTGAAGGTATGGATGAAATGGAGTTCACTGAAGCAGAATCCAACATGAATGATTTGGTCTCTGAGTACCAGCAGTACCAGGATGCTACTGCTGAAGAAGAGGGTGAATTCGATGAGGAAGAGGGGGAATACGATGGATGAGCCAGACATAAAAAATGTACTTGGCAGATTCCTCATGGGATAGCCCGTCTCGGCAATCCTGCAGCCGACCGAGCAAGAAAAAGTATGATTCTGTCCATGAGCCCATGAGCTGTGTTGGTGCCATTGGTTGTCGGCCGTGAATTGCCAAGCATCAAAGTGACAATTATACATGTGTCACCCTCAACTAGAATTTCCTCTGGTGTCCCAGATCAGGGTGTAAATGCAGGCAATGGTTTCAGAGGTTCTTTTTTTTCTCAGCTAGACTTGGTGGAGTTGAAGAAGTGAAACGACCTTTGCACCTTAGTTTGGATCTTGGCATCTTTCTCGTGAGCCCTCAAGTACTAAAGCAGTCCGTGCCGTTCGCTTTCACTTGCAACTTTCTGAGAGCCATGCGCGAGCTCGTGCACGTCCAGGGCGGCCAGTGCGGAAATCAGATTGGTGCCAAGTTCTGGGAAGTCATTGCGGATGAACACGGCATTGACCCAACTGGAACATACCATGGAGACTCTGACCTGCAGCTCGAAACTTGGTAGCGGATGTTTGACGTGTGTTGAATGCTTTGAGCTCTAGATTCTTCGAGATGAGTATTAGTAGACATGGCAGATTGAATTCGAATGGAATTAACTAGACCCTAAGATAGAGTATCTAATTTGTATCTTAGAAGGATGTTAGAGCATTGGTTGCGCTTTCCCTGCTCGGGTTGTAGGCAGGATTCGCAAGCCTTGCAGCCACGGATGGCATTTCAAACAGAAGCATTCATCGGCTGCTTCCTGTGCCCGTAGATGGTGCCAGCTCATGGGTGAGCATGGTCTGCTCTACATACCGGTACATGCTAAGAGCCGAAGAAAGAAGAGAGAGAGCAAAGAAAAAAAGAAACCGATCTCAGTTCGCAGCCCGTCAGCAAGTTCCCTCCTCTGCTCCTTCACCTTTTCGTGTGATGCGTGGCGGTGGAAGTGATGGGAATGCACTCCTTTCAGGTTTACAACAGTTGCTGAGCCAACATGCAAAAGACACCAAGAAGCCCAAGGTCCATGCTGAGGACAACACACGTTTGCTCAACGACTTGAAGAAGTTAGTTCACCATCCTCCAGACAACCTCATGGAGGCATTGCAGAAGATTGTGACGAAACATTCCCAGACAGCTACAAGTTCCAGATCTGAGGCCAGCAGATGGCGTTGTCCAAAACCAAAGCCTCCAGATCATGATGCTAGACTAGTGCCACAGGCCAAGAACAGATGGAATACCGGCTCATGGATTGAAGTTCGTTGGAAGCTCCGCCGTGCTGATTGGGAAGACGGTGGACAAACCTTCACCTTCATCGATGATATTGCGGCACTTTCATCCTTCTTGGACAGCGATCCTACAGCAAGAGCTTTATTCCATTGCACCAATCCAGACGATGTTGAAGAAGCGGTCCAACTACTTCTTGGCCAGCCAGGCCACAAGGTCACCATCGTGCTGGATGGCAAGGAAATCCCTGAGAGCATTTTGGATGAGGATGGGGTTTGGACTCACAACAGATGTCCTGGCACCATCTCAGGCAAGCTCACCACACGTCAGATCAGATGCCGTTTGACGCAGGAGAGTCCATGCCTCAAGGAAGTGCAAACTGTCAAGATCAACAAGCCGCAAAGCGACAAGAAAGACAGCTCATGGGTGTTGAGATTCAATGCCGACTGGTATACCACTGCAACAGAGGAAGCTTGGGAAAGCATCATCCAAAAGCCAGGCAGCCAAATCCGACAATGGATTGCTGAGCTGAACCATGACTTTGTTGCAGCGCTGGGGCCCACTTGGAAATGTGAACTGCACCCTGACCATAGAGTGCAGGGATACATCCGAGTATACAACCATGACATTGCGCAAAGAATTTGCAAGCTTAGTGGAGCACAAGCAGATGATATGCGATTCTTCATCTGCCCGGTGATCAAAGAAGAGTTCAAGGACCTGCCCCAACATGTGGCATGGCAAACGTGGAAAGAAGACGAAGAATGGGAGGACTATGTGGCAAGAGTTGCATTGAATATGCCACACGGTCTCATTCGTGGTAGACATCAGCTTGGACATCGTGTCAATGAGGCCCCTGTTGACAAGAAAGGGCCCACTGCATGGGTCCTGCAGAACGTTCCGTTCAAAATTACACCGCAGGAAGTCATTGACATCCTGAAGGGCGTGGGCTTTACCGACCCAGAAATCGTCAACGCTACGCCCAGGAAAGGAAAAAAGCTATGGACCTTCAGAGCCACTCGAAACGACCATGAGGGCCTGGTGCAAAGCCGCATCACCTGGGACGAACAAGAAGATTCTTTGGATATTGTTGCCATCAAGCAAGCCATGAAACGTGGTTACTGCCAAGAACCCCAGAAGCTCAACAAAGAACGCAGAATTGACTACCAACCGCGGCAGCAGCCGATCTACTCAGAACTAAAACCAAAAGAAGCAAAGAGAAAACAACCAGGCAAAGCCGAAACCCAACCAAAGCCCACAAAAGGCCAGAAAACGGTTGGAAAAGAAACTCAAGAACAACCAGCGGCTCCAGTCAACAACACCAACCAGAACGCTGCGGACAACAGGGGACGCAGCCGCAGTCGAGAAAAGCCAAAGCAAGCGACACAGCAACCACAACCAATGGATACAACTTCCGCCACTGACTTGAAAGGACAGGTTGTCCCTAATGCAGGCCAAGGCAACTGTTTTTACCATGCTGTGGAACAAGCTCTGAACAGTGACATGGGCATCAATGACCGCAAAAGAAGTCATCGCCAAATCCGTGCTTGGCTAGTTTCCTACATCAGCAACAAAAGAGACATTGTTGAACCAGGTTGGGATGGCAAGAACGCCAAGGGCCAGGCTGATCTATCTTCCTTTGATGAATACCTCCAAGAAGCCCAACAGATCGGCACATGGAGTACGACATTGGAAGTCAAAGCAGCAGCGCTCGGTCTCAAAAAGCGGATCTATGTAGAGGATGAAGGACAGGTCAATCTTTTCAACGAGGCTGGCACGGATGGATATTTGGCTATCAAATACACCCATGAAAGCCATCACTTTGAATGGATCAAGGACACTGATGAGCAGCAACTACTCCAGATATCTAGGCTCCGGGTCAAAGACAGAGAATACAGAGCTGGCGCAAAATCTTGTGCCACACCAGTTCTCTCCGATTTTGGATCTGGTGGCCACACACCATCAATCCGACTCAGTGGCTTTGCAAGTGATCGCACTTCAGGTTACAAATCTCCACCTACAACGTTGAGATCAACGGGTAGCAAGCGAGAACGTGAACCCTCACCATCAAGTCATGAACCCCCTCCAAATGGTAGTTACCAATGGGTTTGTGACGCGTGCAAACGCACCATTGTTGGCAAGAGCATTAGGCATCTCTCTTCACTTCGGGATGCACACCGACGACAACAGCACCCAAAGATATGCCGGAAGAGATTTCACACCATCCGGAATATCTACACAGCAGTGCTGCCCATCACCAAGCCTACGCCTCAATTCGAATGGCAATGTGCCTTGTGTGACAAGGGCCTACAACAACTCCCACCAGGAGCTAGAAGATTGAGCATCCGCACTCATCTGAAGAGCTGCGCCTATGCTCCTGCCCGAGCTACGGTCAAAAGCAATATGACCGAACTCCTGAGGAAAGCTGGTGCGCCCATTGCGGTCCACATGAATGGAGGGGGCCGGCATCACATGTTGAAATCGCAACTACGACTCAAGGCGTTGAATATGAAATACAAACAACAAGGCCATGACATTGGCTGCATTGCTATGTTTTCGAAGTCGCGTAATCAATTTGTGTGCCGAGCTTGTTGGAATTGGTGGCCTAGCCTAGGCAAGGTTGAAAAGCACATCATGAAACATGCTTGTTTGGGCAGACCACGTCAGTTGCTTCATTTGCAGACCACCCTCGCCAAGAGATGGAGAGATGAGACGCTTTCCAACAAACGGAAATTGGCGCAGGCGCTCCGTTTCAGCAATGAAGACAAACACCTGCTCAAAAAACATGCCAAGGCCCCCAAAGGCAACAAACTTTTGATGAGGGGCAAGCAGAACCCGGCAAAGGCCTGGAAAAGAGACTTGACCCGCGAAGGGATTGAGCCCAACCCAGGTCCAGTCAGTCGGCTGCAATGTGCTACATGGAATGCGCAGGGCAGAGACAATTGCTATAGACTCCTCGACAGCTTGCCAAGAAAGTTTGATGTTGTCCACCTGCAGGAAGTGAACATGGATGACTTCATGGTGCAACAGTTCGCCAAGTATGCTTACAGCAAAGGCTACCGATGCTGGTACACACTGGCCACTAGCAAGACGGACGCCTTGCACAGAGAACATATCAGAGGTGGAATTATCACTTTGGTTAAAGCCACACTGCGTGCCTCGCTGTATCAGATCCATTCTTCAGAAGAAGGCCACTTTCTAGCAGTTAACATTCATTCCAACATCTTTGTGAATGTCTACCAGACTCATGGAGGACTGCCACAAGGCCTCCGTGAAAGCTTGCAGGAATTGATCTGTAGCCTGCCTTTCAGATGGCAGACTATCCTTGCGGGAGATTGGAACCAAACCCCTGAAGAGGCCAGATATGACCGAAGTTTTGACCTACAACTTCACTGTGTTCTTCAGGCGGATGACCATACTCCAGTGCCAAGTCGTTGGAAAGGGTCTCGTTGCATTGATTGGATTTTGTGCTCCAAAGATCTATACATTGCTACACGTCAATATGACGATCTTGCTATTAGTGACCACAAGATTCTTTGCTATGATGTTGTAGCTGACTACTGCAAACACGACTGCAAACAGTTGGTCCCAACCAGAGTTTTAGTGCCTCAATGCGTGGATGCCGAGTGGAAGGCATTGCTCAAGCAAGCATGGGCAGCAGCTGCAGTGCCGCCTGCCACAGATACTGAAACTGAATGGGAAGCTTTCAACAAACTTGCTCAAGACTTCCATGTCGAAACCATGACACGGACTACAGGTTTCCATCGACAACGCAATTACAGAAACAAGGGTAGCATGCCTTCCGTTCAAGTTGCAACAGGTCAGGTGGTGAGACATTCCGGCACCTACCGAGGCCGCAAATTGGCAAACTGCTTGGGTCGCTGCTACGAACTACAGAGACAACACCAAAGAGGCCAGCTCAACGACGGTCTCCGCACCAAATGCCAAAGAACATGGCCCCTCGAAGAACTATGGCACCATGACATTGAAGTCAACATACATCGCCTGGAACAAGCTTTGTTGCACGAACACAACAGACAACGCACGCAGTCACTTCAGGCATGGAAACATAAGATGACTCAAGGTGGCAAATATGCTACATCTTGGCTGAAGCGGAACTTTACCCATACTCCAGTGAGCATCTACGTTGAGGACTTCGATGGCACAGTCAAATACACACGTGATCCCCAAGAAGCTATTGGAGAAGTTCAAAAACACTGGGAACAGGTATGGAACCGCAGATTGCCTGACATTGATGAAGCCATCAGACAATGGGAAAACTGGAATACCCCAGTTGCGCATGAACACCAGGATCTTGAGAGTATGCTGACGGGAGAAAAACTTTTTCAAGAAGCTCAACGACTTAAAGGATCCTCACCCGGCCCCTGCGGTTGGACCGGTGATGAACTAGCTAGTTGGCCAGTTGCAGCGTGGAATATTTACGCTACTTTGGTGCATCGTTGGATTGGTCGTAACCAATTTCCACAACTTTGGAAGCATTGTAGACAGGTACAAGTGCCTAAACCTGGAGCTGAAACTCATGGTGGTGCTTGGAAGCCTAAGGACTTGAGGCCTATCAGTGTGTTCAGTGGCTTGTGGAGGGTGCTCACCTCCACCATTGCCAGAGATGCATCCACACAGCAATGGGCGAACCAATACCTTCCTGAAGCCTGTCATGGAGGTCTGAAGCAAAAGGACGTGTTTACTGCAATTGCGTCACTTGACCATGCGCATACACACCTCAAATTGCCTTTGGTTAGCTTGGACTACTCCAAATGCTTTGATCGTGTACACCCAGAACTTGCAATCCGGGCTATGAATTCAGCGGGCCTTCCAACATCGCTTGCTGACATGCTGAGACACGTATGGTGTGACCAATATCGATGGTTGCAATATGGCAGCAGCACATCACTATCACCAGCTAGAACCGGCAGCAGTCTACCACAAGGAGATGGACTATGCCCAATGGCTCTCACGATTCTGCTGGCGTCGCCTGCCAAGGCTATGCAACATCAATTTGGAGCCACACCTTTCAAACAAACGATTTATCTGGATGACAGGAACTTTGTCGCATTGCCGGCATCTATCCCACGAATCTTACATGAATGGGACATGTGGTCCAGATATTTTGGATTACAAGAAAACCATGCCAAGATGAAAGTTGTTTGCCGCACCAAGGAACAACAGGACTCTTTGCTCTCCCGGGGCATTCCTCTACAGGCATTTGCAGATCAAGCTCGAGTTCTGGGGGTTGACTTCTGCCGCGATGCTGCCACGGCCCACAGAGAGACAGCTCAGCAAAGATTGGAATCTGCATATGCGATTGCCTCACGGATCACGGCACTCAAGAATGCAGACTTGAGGAAAATGTTATGGAGAACACGTGTGATCCCTATTGCTACATGGGGCCACCTTTTTCGCCCTCTCTCGAAACGTGACTGGAAACCACTGCACCGTATGTACAAAAAGATCTTCTATGTGCACAAATCCGGTTCAGTTTCGCTGCAACATCTACTTGTAGGGCACATGCATAATTGTGTCTTCATGTCAGGTATGAAAGTTTTGCAAGCTTGGATGAGGGTTTACACTTGGAGCCAATATACAGATTTGGCCCCTTTTTTGAAGAAACGAGGTTCATGGCCTTCCACTTTGTGCAGATTTTTGGAATCGCTTGGTTGGAGAGAACTCCAATGCCATGTTTGGACCCATGACCGAATGCAAGAAACTATACAGTGGGGTGGGGACTCAGCCACCACCAATGAGCGAATTCAACACCTTGTCCGCGAATCTTTTCGTCGAAAGCTCTTTTCAGAATTTCAGAACAGTGCCAGGCGTGATGCAGACATTCTGGCCCACTCTGAATATGATGAGACCTTGATCGCCTTGGCTCGTCAGCAGTTCAGTGAACATGGAAGTCATGCCAAAGCAATCATGATTGGCGCTTTTTGGAGCCATGCCAAGAAAGAAGTCCGCAAGCACTTTCACACAAACAAATGGTGCCCATTTTGTCATGAGAACATTGTTGCAGACCTTGATCATTTGATTTGGTTTTGCAGCCATTTTGTTTCAGGGAGACCTCCAATCCCTGACAACATTTTTCAGCGAAGACTTGGATGGCCAATCCGTGACAGGCCAGACTACAATCAAGATGTCATCACACATATGGCTGCAGTTCGTAGCCATATGGTCAAGCTTCCTTTTTAGATTGGCCCTTTGCGGGCCATACTAAGGTCTGCGAGTCTGAGGGCTTGAGATCTTTCAAGAAGGACAGTTGATTGACTCTGTGCTGGATGTGGTCCGAAAAGAAACTGAGGGTTGTGATTGCTTACAGGGATTCCAACTTTGCCACTCTCTTGGCGGCGGCACTGGTGCTGGCATGGGAACGCTGTTGATCTCCAAAGTGCGCGAGGAATATCCGGATCGCATCATGGAAACATTCTCCGTGATTCCATCTCCAAAGGTGTCCGACACAGTGGTGGAGCCCTACAATGCAGTCTTGAGCTTTCACCAGTTGGTGGAGAACTCCGATGAGTCCTTCTTGTTGGACAACGAAGCTTTGTATGATATTTGTTTCCGCACTTTGAAGCTGACTACCCCAACTTATGGTGATCTCAACCATTTGGTGTCTGCCGCAATGAGCGGTGTGACATGCTGCTTGCGTTTCCCTGGGCAGCTGAACTGCGACCTGCGAAAGATTGCAGTGAACTTGGTGCCGTTCCCACGTCTGCACTTCTTCATGACAGGCTTCGCACCATTGACTTCCCGCGGTTCGCAGCAGTATCGTGCCCTGACCGTTCCAGAGTTGACGCAGCAGATGTTCGATGCCAAGAACATGATGTGCGCAGCCGATCCTCGCCACGGCCGCTACTTGACAGCGGCAGCCCTGTTCCGCGGCCGCATGTCCACCAAGGAGGTTGACGAGCAAGCTCTATTCGGTGGAGGCCCCCAGTCTGATGACATGGCGAGAGCGGGCCGATCTTCGGTGCAGACTTCCACCCGAACCACGATGAGCAGTGTGGCTGCTCCTGAACATACACCTGGTGGCGGTGACCTCAATGTTTTCTGTTGCAAAGGGTCACCTGAGAACGAGATGAAAGATCATCATTTTTCTGCATGGAATTATGTCACTAGTTGCATTCAGTCGTGCTTTGATTGTTTTGCTGGTTGGCCTCGTTTGCTTTCTAGTGAGACTGTCCCAATTCAGAATCAATCTTCAATTGATATGCTTGCATGTGAGCCTGCCTCGTGTGATTGCACGGGCCTGGTTCCTCTCCAAGATGCTGACTCCTTTGATTTTGCAGTTGGCATGCCGATGAAAGTACAGCTCGCTGATCCTTTTGGTTTCCCCGAAGGAAATGTGGCGCCAGGAGTGAAAGATTCGGACCCAGATGTTGTGACCTCTGATCCGCTGGATGAATGTGATGTTGGTGCCTCCCAGTTGGATTTTGTTCCAGAGACGCAGTGCCACACACACACATGTGTAGATTCCTCCCTATGTGCAAAAGCCTTGAGATCCAGCTCTCATGTGATTTTTGCTGCCAGAAAGTCCGGCCCTGTCCGTGTGCCGGCTGCTAGGGGCACCACTCTTATGACACGTAGGTTTCCTTCCTTTTGGTTTCCTATTCGAAAGGGTGGTCCTCGCTTTTGCCAATTTGTGCCTCTTCCGGTAAAGTTGGACTATCCTAATCCTGTCTCCAACCTTTTGGGCGGCGGCAAGTCCAAGAAACGTCCTTCAGATACTGTTGATGATCCTTTGCTCGGTGCTTTGACAGAGTTGGTAAAGCAGTTTGAACCGGATGTTCTCTCCAAACCTGTTAAAAAGCAGCCTTCTAAGAACAAGCCTACTTTGCGTGAAGCTTTAACTCAAGTTTTGGCAAAGCCTTCCCCCGGTCGGAGTTTGCTAGACAAGTTGAAGTCCATCATTCGTGGAGCTGAGGGTGGCCACTACGCTGACGAAGGGCCCTCTCCCAAACCAAATCCCAAAGCAGTGCCGGAAACCAAGGGCACGGCTGAACAAAAGGGACAACAACAGCCCAAGAAATCCATTTTGAAGCAGCCCAAGCCTCCCGTCGAAGCTTTAACGGAGAAGGCTTCCAATGTGCAGGCCTTGTCAGATTGTCACTTGCGTAGTGCAGACTGGCCAAAGGCTACCATCATGCGAGCTCAACCTGTGTTGTCCAAGCTTCGTCGGGGTGAAGCTCCAGATGTTCGAGCAGTTGCGTGCATCATGTCAGAAAATGAAGCTGAGGAAGCGATTGCATACTGGCTTCAGCATAAACTGGGCGAAGGCACGACTTCGTCCCTTAGCATTGTTGTGGGGGACCGGTCTCCTACAGTTGTCGCATGGCAATGCCCTGAAAAGCAAGGTCTCTCTACCAGCTCTCAGTGGTTGAGTTTCGTGCAAAAGGAACGCACTGTGATGCGCACAGTCAAAGTTTTGCGTTTAGGTGCTGCTGAGGCTCCTCGCAATCCAGTTGTGCAGAAGCTCGATGGGGCAGTGCTTCCAACAAGGAGTAGTGACGTCCAGACCGTTCGTCTCACGGTTTTTGCCAAATACACTGCTGATAAGTTGACTAGCCAATATGCTGATTCTCTTTTGAAACAGATTTGGCCAGCATCAAAGTCGGCCAGACATTTTGCCAACTGGCGGGTTGAAAAGGACAAGAGTGGTGCAGTTTGTGCGTTGACCGCTTATGTTTCCGGCACTCCCGCTGTGGTCAATGGATTGCTTGCTAAATCTGGGACTTCTCCCTTGTTTGTCTCCAAGTTGGCCAAGCACAAAGTGATCGATGAGTCGTTGCACCCTTTCTGGATTCCTAGGGCTGAGGGTTGCTCGGACTATGAGTACTTGCAGCAAGCACGTGCCGAGCTCGAGAAGTTCAAGTGCACAACTGGTTTGATGCATCGCCTTGGCGGAGGTAAGGACCTGGGTTTCTTGCGTCCTACGGCTGAGGTCGATCCCTGCAAAATGCCACCCTTTTACTGGCACGCCTATGCTCCAGACTTTTGGCATGCCGATGATTTGGTTGCTTTCCTTGATCCACTGGATGGGAGCAGGTTCAAGTCCTGGGTCAAGCTGGCAAGGCTTGGCGTTTTCGTGCCAATGTCCGCCCAAGCAAAGATACATCGTTTGTCTACGATTTGCTCCCTGATGGAATGCTCAAAATCGTGCCACAGCCTCACAAGGCCGCTGCTCCCTTGGCCACAGGCAAAGCTCTTGGTCGACCTCGTGCTCCTTGGACAGTACCGCCTTTGGAAGTTGAAGGCGAAACTAGAGTCATGGAAGTTGACGGTGGCAAGAGCAGTGCCGAGAGCAAGCAAGAAAATGGAGCCAAACCTGTGCCCAATCCCAAAAGGCAAAAGGTCCCAAAGGTCAGTCTTGACTTTGGTCAAGGCGCTTGCTTCGAAGATGTCAGCTCACCCCTTCACGGTTGGACACTTGTTGAGGCAGGAGGAGCTGGAGCCTGCGGCTATCGTTCTTTGATTGCTGCCAGCATTTTTGATTCCAAAGCGGATGCCAAGCTGAACAAAGAGGATGTTTTCAAGCAGGCTGCTAGCTTGAGAGTGGCCACAGCTCAGCACTTCCGCAAATGCGAGGGTCGCTTTCGACCATCCTGGTCCATCGATCCTTCAAATCTCGATCATTCCGGAGAATCCTGGGAGGAGTACGTTGCTAAGGTTGAAGATGAGTCCTTTTACATGGATGAACTTCAACTCAAGAGTGCCGCTGAGAAGCTCAAAAAGCAAGTCACTGTTATCTACTTGGATACAGCTGGTTCTTGGGCACGACGGGTTTTCAATCCCCGCGCTGAGGGTCAACCTTTGGTGATGCTCCTCAAGGACGAACATTACAGGGTTGTGAAGCCGTCCAACATTGGTTTCCCTCCTGAATGGAACAAGAGTGCTGGTGGCACTTTCCCTCGCATCGGTGGAGGAGGCAAAGCTGCTAGCGTGAAGTCTAAGGGATCCGTGCGAACGTGGTCCACTTTCAAGATTGGCCTCAAAGCCCAAAGTCGTGGAGGTAGCCGTGGTCTTCCATCCATTTCGGCTAAGTCTTGCAGTACTTTCAAGGTCAATGTGACGTCCGCTTGTTCAGGGCGCAGCAATCGACGCAGCCAGTTCTCATCACAGCCTCCGGTACAGTCCTCCAAACCGGACACCCTGGGGCGGGTGCGAGACAACACAGCCGCATTTTCTCCCAATGATGATTGGTCAAAGGATGCCGTTTTTCAGTGTCCCTGTGGATGGAAATTGGATCCCGTCCCTGATGTGATTCCAAAAAAGCTTAAGTCGCAAAGGATTCATGCTTTCGTTTTGCATTGGCAAGAGTGCCAACCAGGAAAACCTTTGCCGGTTTTAAGTGCTAAACAGCGACAGCAGAAGATTCAAGACATGGCCAACAAAGCTTCACTGGTCAGAGCCCGCAACGCCTGGTCCGCTTGGTGCAGCTTGCGCTCTACGTTGCCGCCAAATGTTTTTGCTAATCTTCATGTCCTTGAAGAGACCCCAATCAACATTGAGAACAGAAAGCTGAGGGAGCCCCTTTTGAGAGCTTGCACTCGATGTGATGGTGTTTACACGTTGGCAGCTTGCCGCCATTTGACTTGTCCTGCCACTCCAGCTCATTTGAAGATCTCCTGCAAAGAGCTGGAAGCTACTGTGAGAGAATGCGAAGGTCGCCGCACTGCTCGTGCTGCAGCTCTGACTACTGACTCAGATCCAAGAAAGTCTTCCCGAAAGTCGGGGGTTTTGTCCAAGGCTTGAGATGCGAAGCGCAAGGCTGACATTTTGCACAAAGGGGTGCAGATGAGCCATGTTCGACGTGCTTGACTAGTTTTTCCTTGGACCCATGCCTGCAGAGTTGGCGAGGCTCAGAATCCTGGGCCTCCTCGGTTTTCTCGTTCGTCCAAGCGGACTTCTGTTTCCATTCTTTTGGCTAACATGCAGGGTTTGGCTGGTGCCAAATCTACTGGAAAATGGCAAACTTTGTCTGACCGTGGTAACATTTTGCAAGCTGACCTGGTGGCGATCTCTGAAACTCATCATGCTCAGCGTCAAGCAGATCGTTTTGCACGTGCTGCGGCAGGTGCCGGTTGGCCAGGTTATTTTTGCAACCCAGGCACTGGCCGGGCTTTGGGGACTGCTATTCTTGGGCCCAAGGTTTTGCGTGAAGATCCTTTCGACTGGCCTGACTGTTTGCGTGGTCGTATTTCTTCTTCCGTCCTGCCTTGTGGTACTATGGATATTTTGGTCATTTCCGTATATTTGCCTGTTGGCACTGGTGCGGCTCTCCAGCAACGAGAACAATGCATTTCTGCTATCGCAAATCGTATTGCTTTGGCTGACCTTCCTTGTTTAGTGGCTGGTGATTGGAATTGCTCTCCTCATTCTCCTGAGTTGGCTCCGCTGTCTTCTATGTGTTCCTACGCGCAGGAGTTGGTTGGGGTCGAGTACAAGTCTACAAAGGATCATTGTATTGACTTCTGTTTGGTGAAAAATTTGACCGTCCAACTGGTGGCTGTTGATTTACTCATTTCAGATCATCGTGCAGTTTTTGTGCAGTGTCACTTGCCATCTAATCTGCAATATGATGCTTTGCGTCGTTTTCCTAACCTTACTACGGATGCTGGGGCTTGGCAAACGGCTTGGGAAACTACTTGGCCGTCTTGGGTCGCCTCGTGGGCCGAGGCTAAGCAGAACAATGATGTCGAGACTATGTGGCGTGTCTGGTCATCGGCTCTCGAACTTGCTGGTGGTATTCAGTCCCCCCAGCGACATTTTGGTACAGTGGTTGAAAAGATTCGCCTTGTCTGGAAAGGACCAACAGGTTCGCGCATGAATTGTCGTCAGCGTCGTCTTCACCGTGTTTGGCGTCGGGCTCATGAACAGATTCTGCAATTGGACAAAGGCAATTTCAATCCTCAATCCTTTGAGCGGTTGCTTCGGGATGTGCGCAGGCTTGAGCAAATTGGTCTTTTGGAATTTTCTGGTTCCTCTAGCACTTCGGATTTGCATGACATTGAACGAGAGCTCACCCGGGCTATTTCTGCAGCTAACAAAAGAATTGTCGAGGACCGCTACGCACAGTGGGTCTCTCAAGCTAAAGCTCCCGGTATGGCTAAGTTGTTTGATTGTATTGGTGGAAAGGTTCGTCCTGGTCTGCAAGCTGTTCTGGATTCCAATGGCTCTCCCACAGCTGATCCTTCCACTTTGCAAAAGCATGCGCAAGATCAATGGAATCGAAAGATTCACCCTGCTTTGGAGCCTGAGCGTCGGGCTGCATACTTGAACCGTGTTTTGCCTTTCATTTCTATGGTGCATGTCGAGACCTCGGTTGGTGATCCTTTTTCCGTGGAGGAATTTTGCAATGCTGTTCGTGGCTGCCAGGGTACGGCGCCTGGGCCGACGCAATGGTCTGCTGAAGTTCTTTTAACTGTTCCTCGGGAAGCCTTGTCTCTTTTGGTGCAGTTGATGCAGGTTATTTGCCACACTGGCAAGTGGCCCTCTGCCCTGCGCTTTCAAGAAGTCACTATGATTCCAAAGCGGCCTGGTTCTGGTGATCTTCGCCCCATCTCCGTAACAAGCATCATTACCCGTGCCTTCGAGAAGATGGTGCTCGAACGATACAAGTCATGGGTGGTTCAGGTGCAACCTACTGATGTTGTCGATACTTTGCTGGCAGTTGAAGTCCTTGTGGCTGATGCACAATTGCATGGGACTTCGCGCATTTTCCGGCAGAGTGATCTCAGCAATTGCTTCACTCGTTTGGATGTGGACATTTGCAAACAGTTGGCTATTGCTTTTGGCATGCGGCCTGCACACGCCGCTATGTTGTTTGAAATCAATCGTCGTCGGCCTGCCATTGTCCGCGCTGGTGCAGCTGTGGGCGAGTGGCAGTTTCCAGACAGAGGCATGGCCCAGGGTGACCCCATTAGCCCTTTGGCTGCTGCTTTAGTTGCAGGGGCTCATGCTCGTTGTCTGCGAGCTTGCGTTCCCGGCATTGAATTCCACACTTATGTCGATGACCGTACATTGTCCTGCACTTGTCCTCGTCAGGCGCGAGATGCTATCACTCTTTTGAATGAGTTGGACGATTTGAGTGGTCAAGCCGAAGATCCTGCTAAGGAAGAGTTTGCTGGCATTAACCTTCAGGATGATTGGGATACTGTTTGCCCTCGCGTCAACAAAGATTTTCTGGATCTCTTAGGCATCCGCGTGCATTTTTCCGATGGTTCTTTTGGCATTGCTCCCAAAGCTCATGCTCGTTGGACTGAACTGGAAGCACGTTTGAAGCGTCTTCAGACGTTATCGGGGGGCATGCGTTTGAGTCGGGACCAAATCGGCATCGCTGTCAAGGCAACTTTGGGGCTTCTGCAATGGGATGCTGCTTGGCTGGTGGATGTGCCAACTGGCTTGCGCAAAATGACTACCTTAATTGAAAATGTTTTGCAGGGTCGCAGACGACATGCTGCTTGGCGGCATCGTGGCGCTGCATGGTTGGTGCAGCAGCGTGGTTGGCAACTCGATCCTCAGGCAATCATTTGGTGGTCGCAGTTTTTTCTAGCCAGGAAGGCTCGTTTCTCTTCCTGGCGTGCCGCACTGGAGCGAGCTTGGCAGAGCAGCGATGGTTTTATGGGTCGTTTCTGTTCAAGACTGCGAACTACTTACATTTCACTTGGTTTGGGTATCACTTCTTCTCCCTTCATTTTTGATCACCCAGCTGGTTTGTGTGACATCGGTTTGGTGAGCAATGCGACTTTGGGACACATTTTGCGCCAAGGTTGGCGTGCTGCTGTCATGAAACAATGCGCCAACAACACTCGCCGTCATGTTTGTGTGGACATTCCGTCCATTGACGTGGCCCCTTTGCATTCCTTTCTGAATGAAAAACACGATGATAACCCTGCTTTGAGTTGGAGGTGTGTCACGGCTGCTGAGCCAAATTTGGAGCGGCTCGCCCATGTCATCAACGTGGAGAAGGGGTGCAGTTTCTGCCCTGGGAATCCGGTTGCTACGACTTTTCATCATATGTGGGAGTGTGTGCAGACCGCTTCTTTGAGGTCGAGTTTCGGACTAGATTTTTCAGTCTTGACTGCTGGTTTGGAGCCACAAGCTGCTAGTGCTTGGCTGCAAAATGCTTGGGCTGTTGTTTCGCACCCTCCTCGGTCCTTTGCTTGGACTATGGACACTGTATGGGAGTGGGTCTCCGATTTGCAGAACGTTCTTTCACTTTATCCCCCAGAAAGTCATCATGGTGAATTTCTTTTTGCTACCGATGGTAGTGCGGCTGATCCTGCAGACCCGGACTGTCGTCAGGCAGCGTGTGCAATTGCTTGGATCTCCGGCTCAGCTGTGCGGACATGGCATCGCACACTCGGTGCTATTGAAAGTTCCGTCAACGCAGCGGAACTGGTTGCAGGAGTCGTGGTTGGTTCAGAACCTGGGACAGAACATCCAGTTTTGTTACCTATCGATGGATTTTGGAGCCAATGTCTGAAACGATGTTCGTTAGGGCTCCTTCCTCATGACTCTGACTTTTGAAGACTGGAGATTTCTGTAGCCCTTTTTGGCGTTCACGACTTGTGTTGTCCAAGACAACCCCTCTGGGCGAGGGCCCGTGGGATGGTGGAGCCAGCTGTGGCCATTTTTTCCCTGTCCTCACAGCAATAGCTGTTTGGCGTTTCAGGAGGTTCAATTTGTTTCTCCTGTTCAATCCATCGTTTTGGAACCCATTTTCGAACCTATTTTATGCAGTATTGCCACGCTTGTAGGGGACATAACATCATGATAGTATTTTCTTCTTGGTTGGTCATGCTGCTGTGGATTTCAAACCCTGCCGTTTTTTGACTGATCATCGGGAGCTGGTGCGCAGAGCTTCCTCACTTTCTGCTTTCCCTGTCAGCCAAGGAAAGAAAGCTTTGTGGGACGAATGGATCAACATCACTGCCGATGAGCAGGTGCGCGTTTCTTGGGTGCCTTCTCATGGCAAGTATTTGCATCTGAACATTCCCCTCCTTTGGCGGGAGTTGAGTCATCATGCGGATTTGGCTGCTGGTCGCTCGGCTGCTACCTTTTCTTCGGAGAGAAGTCAGTGGTGCCATGGTCTTCGTTCTCGTCGACGTTTGGCCTTGCGCATCTTGAGCTTCAAGCGAGCTGCTTTCAAGGATTTCCACGATCTTCTGTTGTAGAGTGATCGCGCTTGATTTTTTAGAATTTGGGTGCCGTGAAGACCGTGTCATCTTGCGGTACCTTCCCTCAAACACCGACAAGTGGACGAACAGATGCTGAATGTTCAGAATAAGAACTCGTCTTACTTTGTTGAGTGGATCCCCAACAACATAAAGGCATCCGTGTGCGATATCCCGCCAAAGGGCTTGAAGATGGCCGTTGCCTTTGCAGGCAACTCTACTGCCATTCAAGAAATGTTCAAGAGGGTGGCGGAGTACTTCACTGCCATGTTCCGCCGCAAGGCCTTCTTGCATTGGTACACTGGTGAAGGTATGGATGAAATGGAGTTCACTGAAGCAGAGTCCAACATGAATGATTTGGTCTCTGAGTACCAGCAGTACCAGGATGCTACTGCTGAAGAAGAGGGTGAATTCGATGAGGAAGAGGGGGAATACGATGGATGAGCCAGACATAAAAAATGTACTTGGCAGATTCCTCATGGGATAGCCCGTCTCGGCAATCCTGCAGCCGACCGAGCAAGAAAAAGTATGATTCTGTCCATGAACCCATGAGCTGTGTTGGTGCCATTGGTTGTCGGCCGTGAATTGCCAAGCATCAAAGTGACAATTATACATGTGTCACCCTCAACTAGAATTTCCTCTGGTGTCCCAGATCAGGGTGTAAATGCAGGCAATGGTTTCAGAGGTTCTTTTTTTTCTCAGCTAGACTTGGTGGAGTTGAAGAAGTGAAACGACCTTTGCACCTTAGTTTGGATCTTGGCATCTTTCTCGTGAGCCCTCAAGTACTAAAGCAGTCCGTGCCGTTCGCTTTCACTTGCAACTTTCTGAGAGCCATGCGCGAGCTCGTGCACGTCCAGGGCGGCCAGTGCGGAAATCAGATTGGTGCCAAGTTTTGGGAAGTCATTGCGGATGAACACGGCATTGACCCAACTGGAACATACCATGGAGACTCTGACCTGCAGCTCGAAACTTGGTAGCGGATGTTTGACGTGTGTTGAATGCTTTGAGCTCTAGATTCTTCGAGATGAGTATTAGTAGACATGGCAGATTGAATTCGAATGGAATTGACTAGACCCTAAGATAGAGTATCTAATTTGTGTCTTAGAAGGATGTTAGAGCATTGTTTCTGCAGTTTTTCTATGTTTTTCTTCTACGTGTATATCCTTGATGTCTGTGATTTGCTTTCCTTGACTGCATTGCTGCAAGGAGCGCATCAACGTTTACTTCAACGAGGCAACAGGTGGCCGCTATGTGCCACGTGCTGTTCTGATGGACCTCGAGCCAGGTGCATTGACCACTGCAAAGCTGAAGCATGATTCAAGATGTTTTCAGTAAGTACATCTCAGCTGACGTAGGGCAATGACTTTCGGCAGCACACTCACACACATGTCTGATGTAGGAATTGAATGGAATTGATGTCTCATTGGAGTAACATCTGCCAACATTCTAGGTAACCAAAGCCCGAATAAGCTCTGAGGTTTTTGTGTTGCTGTCCTGATTGCTTCAGACCGACAGATGTTGTTGCAGGCACCATGGATAGCGTTCGTGCCGGACCTTTCGGCCAACTGTTCCGCCCAGACAACTTCGTGTTCGGGCAAACAGGTGCTGGAAATAATTGGGCGAAGGCCAGGTTTGCAGCATTTTGCATTGCTTCAAGTTGCTTTCATGGAACTCAGACGTTTTCAGGTTCTTGAAATCAAAGTGAAACAAAGTGAGTCAATGCGAACAAGAGTTGAAACCTGTCAGGGTCACTATACGGAAGGCGCTGAGTTGATTGACTCTGTGCTGGATGTGGTCCGAAAAGAAGCTGAGGGTTGTGATTGCTTACAGGGATTCCAACTTTGCCACTCTCTTGGCGGCGGCACTGGCGCTGGCATGGGAACATTGTTGATCTCCAAAGTGCGCGAAGAATATCCAGATCGCATCATGGAAACATTTTCCGTGATTCCATCTCCGAAGGTGTCCGACACAGTGGTGGAACCATACAATGCACTCTTCATTTGTTGAGCAAAACTTTTGGATTGCTTTCTGATTTTGCACTTGAAGATCTGATAGAGTATAGAGTATGATAGAGTACATAACAATCCTTCAAAGGAATTGCTTTAGCTTGATTCTATGTCATAAGTCATACTCAAGTCACCCGAGCAACGTGACGAAGGCAGTGTTGAGCTTCCACCAGCTGGTGGAGAACTCCGATGAGTCCTTCTTGTTGGACAACGAAGCTTTGTACGATATTTGTTTCCGCACGTTGAAACTGACTACCCCAACTTACGGTGACCTGAACCATTTGGTGTCTGCGGCAATGAGCGGTGTGACCTGCTGCTTGCGCTTCCCTGGACAGCTGAACTGCGACTTGCGCAAGATTGCAGTGAACTTGGTGCCGTTCCCACGTCTGCACTTCTTCATGACAGGCTTCGCACCATTGACTTCTCGCGGTTCGCAGCAGTATCGTGCACTGACAGTGCCAGAGTTGACGCAGCAGATGCTGAGTCGTTGAATACCTTGCTTTTTGTGTCGGTTTTCTTTGGTTTTCTTATCTTTAAAGGCCACTCTTCCTTTTTGCTCACTCACATACATACGAAGGTATTTATGTATGTATATACATATATATATACACACATACACATACACATAGACTAGGTAGAGTTTTCGAAATTGAAAGGGTTTGGAAGGTGATTCATCCCCAAAGTACATGAGAAGGTTTAGATCAGCTGATCAGCTTGGAAAAGATGTTGCATTTTCTCGAGGGTCCTTCGGACAGCAAGGATGTTTGATGCCAAGAACATGATGTGCGCAGCTGATCCTCGCCATGGCCGCTACTTGACTGCGGCAGCCCTCTTCCGTGGACGTATGTCGACCAAGGAAGTGGACGAACAGATGCTGAATGTTCAGAATAAGAACTCGTCTTACTTTGTTGAGTGGATCCCCAACAACATCAAGGCATCCGTGTGCGATATCCCGCCAAAGGGCTTGAAGATGGCCGTTGCCTTTGCAGGCAACTCTACTGCCATTCAAGAAATGTTCAAGAGGGTGGCGGAGTACTTCACTGCCATGTTCCGCCGCAAGGCCTTCTTGCATTGGTACACTGGTGAAGGTATGGATGAAATGGAGTTCACTGAAGCAGAGTCCAACATGAATGATTTGGTCTCTGAGTACCAGCAGTACCAGGACGCTACTGCTGAAGAAGAGGGTGTGGCCTCGAAACTTGCCCAATTGGTGACGGTGTGCTGTCTCGTTTGCGCAGTGCCGTCGTGTCGGCCTTGTGGGGATTTCATCGGCGTTTCCGCTCTGCTCATGCGATCTTGTTGCTTTTCACCCAATCGCACTTGACTGATCCGTTCCAAGCCCAGATGTGTCAGAGCTTCCTGACGCTGCAACGCTGCTTGATTCGGGATCCTGCTATAGCCAATGTCTGGGAAACTTGGTGGCAGAGAGCATCGTTGAGAACCGCTCGCCCTCGTGGTCCGGTGACCTTGTTGTGGAAAATTGTTTCTTGCCTTAACTGGACTTGGGTTTCTCCTTGGGTGGTTCGCATTCACACTGGTCTCAATGTGTCTCTTGTTCAAATTTCTCCTGGAGAGTTTGCTCATTATCTTCGGGATGCTTCGCGCATTTGGGGCTGGCAGCAAGCCTTCACTCTTCACAAACACTTTGACGGTGTGCAAAATGCTGGTGTTGATCGTGTTGCTACCTTGCACATGTGTGACAAAGGGGCGCTTTCCAGCCACTGTCTTCGCTTGCTTCGCAGTATCTTGGTTGACGCAGTCTGGACTATGTCTCGGCTTTTTCAGGCTGGTCGTGCTGACACATCCGCCTGCACCTGTGGTCATGACCACCAAGACACTGTTCATTTCTTTTGGGAATGTCCTTCGCTTGCTGATCTCAAAAACAAACATTCGTTGCTCATGAGTCTTCGCCAAAATTTTGGTCCTTGGTCTCCGTGCTTGGAACTCTGTGGTTTAGTGCCCGCTGACCTTGAAGTCCCACAGCATACTAGAGTGCAGGTTGCCGTCTTGGTGCAATCATACTTACTGGATGTCCTTCGTCGGTCGTGGAAAGAAGATGGCTGGCCGCCCAACAAAGATGTTGGGTCCGAACCGCGGCCGACACAGGTGTCGCCTGAATTTTTAGTGTTAAAATTGCCGCCGGAAGTGCCCCGGCTGTCCACAACCACTTTTCCTTGGCCTGAAGCTTTTGCTCGTGACTTGTTGGAATTTCTTCGCACCTTGCAGTGGCCCAAAGGTCCCACCCGTGATGGTGTCTCTTGGGCTGAACTTGCTGTGAATTTTGAAATTGTAACTGGTAAAGCCTTGCCACGAACTCCGAAAAAGCATCGTGCCAGAAAATTTCGGACTTATGGTGAACCTGCCGTTCCTTTGTTGGTAGCCCCTGACAATTTGTATTCTAAAGTGCTAGCAATGTCCAATGCTTGCCGCAGTCTTGCAAGACTCATTGGCACGCATGTGGTTGTTGGTCGGCAATCTCGTTATCAATGTATTCCCAACCTACCTGGCAAACATCGGTTCAGTGGTCTCGACCGAAGACCTGTGATGACTAAGGCAGATGAAACCATCCAGGTCCTGGAGGCTTGTTTACATGAGCGCGTCGCTGTTGAAATCCACAATGCTTCTGCTGACATCACTGCTGGTGCTACTCCAGCAACAAATCCAGTTGAGTTGGCATGTAAGCAAGTAAATTTTTTGAAATGGAAACCTTCTGTCCCGCCAACTGAGGTTTGTGATGATGCCGCAACGGAGACACCGACTGCAAATTCTGCTCCGAAGCCTGATCCGAAACAGGCTCAAAGCAGTGGAACTCAGCCAGCTCATGTTGTCTCGGCTGAGAAACATGAAGTCTTCAAACGTGACAATCGCTGGCACTGCATGAAATGCCCGTGTAGTGCCACCTATAGCAATAGTGCTCGGTTTAAAAATGCTGCATGTCTTGGGGACCGTTGTCACTTTTTTGAATCTAATAAAGGGTCTTTCACATGCACTAAATGTGGCGAAAATGCCGCCAATGAAAAAGAAATGCATGGCAAGCGTCAGTTTCCCTGCCCAGGTCCACAAAGCAGCTCCGAAGCTGCTTCCAAGGTGCCAAAGAAAAAGAAACAGAAAAATCCAGACTCGTCTCAACGACGTCATGATGTGTTTCGTGGTGTAGATCGTTGGCTTTGCAGAAATTGTCCAGCGAGCTGTGGCCTCTCAAACAGTGGTCGTTTTCGAACTGTGCAATGCTTGGGTGACCAGGCCCATGCATTTGTTGCAGCAAAGTCCAAAGGTTTTTCTTGTGAGAAATGCGGTGAGAAAGTTAGCTCTGAAAAGCAGATGATGGGAAAAATGACATTTCCTTGTCCCGGTCCTTCCACTAAGGAAGACAGTTTTGTCCATGATATCCCAAACAAGCCTGATGCCAAAGGTAGATATGTGTGCAAGGAAGTGCAAACGTGGTTCTGTGAAGGGCAGCGTTTCCCGTTTTGTCAAGACTCTTTGTTATGGGAAACATGCTACGACAAGAAATGATGCCATCCGGGCCTCTCGCTGTGTTGCTGGCGTTTCCAAATCCGGACTGCCGGAAAATGTTGCACAGCGTTATCAGGCCTTCCGGAAGTGTGATGTTAACATGGAGCCTGACTAGGCTCCACTCCAAGGGTGCTCGTACGCTATGTTCTAAGCTACGACCACGCTATCCAGAGAAACTTGCTGAAGAAGAGGGTGAATTCGATGAGGAAGAGGGGGAATACGATGGATGAGCCAGGACCTAAAGTTGAACTTGGCAAATTCCTCATGGGATAGCCCGTCTCGGCAATCCTGCAGCCGACCGAGCAAGAAAAAGTATGATTCTGTCCATGAGCCCATGAGCTGTGTTGGTGCCATTGGTTGTCGGCCGTGCATTGCCAAGCATCAAAGTGACAATTATACATGTGTCACCCTCAACTAGAATTTCCTCTGGTGTCCCAGATCAGGGTGTAAATGCAGGCAATGGTTTCAGAGGTTCTTTTTTTTCTCAGCTAGACTTGGTGGAGTTGAAGAAGTGAAACGACCTTTGCACCTTAGTTTGGATCTTGGCATCTTTCTCGTGAGCCCTCAAGTACTAAAGCAGTCCGTGCCGTTCGCTTTCACTTGCAACTTTCTGAGAGCCATGCGCGAGCTCGTGCACGTCCAGGGCGGCCAGTGCGGAAATCAGATTGGTGCCAAGTTTTGGGAAGTCATTGCGGATGAACACGGCATTGACCCAACTGGAACATACCATGGAGACTCTGACCTGCAGCTCGAAACTTGGTAGCGGATGTTTGACGTGTGTTGAATGCTTTGAGCTCTAGATTCTTCGAGATGAGTATTAGTAGACATGGAAGATTGAATTCGAATGGAATTAACTAGACCCTAAGATAGAGTATCTAATTTGTTTCTGCTGTTCTGATGGACCTCGAGCCAGGTGCATTGACCACTGCAAAGCTGAAGCATGATTCAAGATGTTTTCAGTAAGTACATCTCAGCTGACGTAGGGCAATGACTTTCGGCAGCACACTCACACATGTCTGATGTAGGAATTGAATGGAATTGATGTCTCATTGGAGTAACATCTGCCAACATTCTTGGTAACCAAAACCCGAATAAGCTCTGAGGTTTTTGTGTTGCTGTCTTGATTGCTTCAGACCGACAGATGTTGTTGCAGGCACCATGGATAGCGTTCGTGCCGGACCTTTCGGCCAACTGTTCCGCCCGGACAACTTCGTGTTCGGGCAGACAGGTGCTGGAAATAATTGGGCGAAGGCCAGGTTTGCAGCATTTTTGCATTGCTTCAAGTTGCTTTCATGGAACTCAGACGTTTTCAGGTTCTTGAAATCAAAGTGAAACAAAGTGAGTCAATGCGAACAAGAGTTGAAACCTGTCAGGGTCACTATACGGAAGGCGCTGAGTTGATTGACTCTGTGCTGGATGTGGTCCGAAAAGAAGCTGAGGGTTGTGATTGCTTACAGGGATTCCAACTTTGCCACTCTCTTGGCGGCGGCACTGGCGCTGGCATGGGAACATTGTTGATCTCCAAAGTGCGCGAAGAATATCCAGATCGCATCATGGAAACATTTTCCGTGATTCCATCTCCAAAGGTGTCCGACACAGTGGTGGAACCATACAATGCACTCTTCATTTGTTGAGCAAAACTTTTGGATTGCTTTCTGATTTTGCACATGAAGATCTGAGGGATGCTTTGTCCCAAAAGAACGGATAGAGTATGATAGAGTACATAACAATCCTTCAAAGGAATTGCTTTAGCTTGATTCTATGTCATAAGTCATACTCAAGTCACCCGAGCAACGTGACGAAGGCAGTGTTGAGCTTCCACCAGCTGGTGGAGAACTCCGATGAGTCCTTCTTGTTGGACAACGAAGCTTTGTACGATATTTGTTTCCGCACGTTGAAACTGACTACCCCAACTTACGGTGACCTGAACCATTTGGTGTCTGCGGCAATGAGCGGTGTGACCTGCTGCTTGCGCTTCCCTGGACAGCTGAACTGCGACTTGCGCAAGATTGCAGTGAACTTGGTGCCGTTCCCACGTCTGCACTTCTTCATGACAGGCTTCGCACCATTGACTTCTCGCGGTTCGCAGCAGTATCGTGCACTGACAGTGCCAGAGTTGACGCAGCAGATGCTGAGTCGTTGAATACCTTGCTTTTTGTGTTGGTTTTCTTTGGTTTTCTTATCTTTAAAGGCCACTCTTCCTTTTTGCTCACTCACATACATACGTAGGTATTTATGTATGTATATACATAATATATATATATATATACACATACACATAGACTAGGTAGAGTTTTCGAGATTGAAAGGGTTTGGAAGGTGATTCATCCCCAAAGTACATGAGAAGGTTTAGATCAGCTTGGAAAAGATGTTGCATTTTCTCGAGGGTCCTTCGGAAAGCAAGGATGTTTGATGCCAAGAACATGATGTGCGCAGCTGATCCTCGCCATGGCCGCTACTTGACTGCGGCAGCCCTCTTCCGTGGACGTATGTCGACCAAGGAAGTGGACGAACAGATGCTGAATGTTCAGAATAAGAACTCGTCTTACTTTGTTGAGTGGATCCCCAACAACATCAAGGCATCCGTGTGCGATATCCCGCCAAAGGGCTTGAAGATGGCCGTTGCCTTTGCAGGCAACTCTACTGCCATTCAAGAAATGTTCAAGAGGGTGGCGGAGTACTTCACTGCCATGTTCCGCCGCAAGGCCTTCTTGCATTGGTACACTGGTGAAGGTATGGATGAAATGGAGTTCACTGAAGCAGAGTCCAACATGAATGATTTGGTCTCTGAGTACCAGCAGTACCAGGATGCTACTGCTGAAGAAGAGGGTGAATTCGATGAGGAAGAGGGGGAATACGATGGATGAGCCAGACATAAAAATGTACTTGGCAAATTCCTCATGGGATAGCCCGTCTCGGCAATCCTGCAGCCGACCGAGCAAGAAAAAGTATGATTCTGTCCATGAGCCCATGAGCTGTGTTGGTGCCATTGGTTGTCGGCCGTGCATTGCCAAGCATCAAAGTGACAATTATACATGTGTCACCCTCAACTAGAATTTCCTCTGGTGTCCCAGATCAGGGTGTAAATGCAGGCAATGGTTTCAGAGGTTCTTTTTTTTCTCAGCTAGACTTGGTGGAGTTGAAGAAGTGCAACGACCTTTGCACCTTAGTTTGGATCTTGGCATCTTTCTCGTGAGCCCTCAAGTACTAAAGCAGTCCGTGCCGTTCGCTTTCACTTGCAACTTTCTGAGAGCCATGCGCGAGCTCGTGCACGTCCAGGGCGGCCAGTGCGGAAATCAGATTGGTGCCAAGTTTTGGGAAGTCATTGCGGATGAACACGGCATTGACCCAACTGGAACATACCATGGAGACTCTGACCTGCAGCTCGAAACTTGGTAGCGGATGTTTGACGTGTGTTGAATGCTTTGAGCTCTAGATTCTTCGAGATGAGTATTAGTAGACATGGCAGATTGAATTCGAATGGAATTGACTAGACCCTAAGATAGAGTATCTAATTTGTGTCTTAGAAGGATGTTAGAGCATTGTTTCTGCAGTTTTTCTATGTTTTTCTTCTACGTGTATATCCTTGATGTCTGTGATTTGCTTTCCTTGACTGCATTGCTGCAAGGAGCGCATCAACGTTTACTTCAACGAGGCAACAGGTGGCCGCTATGTGCCACGTGCTGTTCTGATGGACCTCGAGCCAGGTGCATTGACCACTGCAAAGCTGAAGCATGATTCAAGATGTTTTCAGCAAGTACATCTCAGCTGACGTAGGGCAATGGCTTTCGGCAGCACACTCACACATGTCTGATGTAGGAATTGAATGGAATTGATGTCTCATTGGAGTAACATCTGCCAACATTCTTGGTAACCAAAACCCGAATAAGCTCTGAGGTTTTTGTGTTGCTGTCCGCTGTCCTGATTGCTTCAGACCGACAGATGTTGTTGCAGGCACCATGGATAGCGTTCGTGCCGGACCTTTCGGCCAACTGTTCCGCCCGGACAACTTCGTGTTCGGGCAGACAGGTGCTGGAAATAATTGGGCGAAGGCCAGGTTTGCAGCATTTTGCATTGCTTCAAGTTGCTTTCATGGAACTCAGACGTTTTCAGGTTCTTGAAATCAAAGTGAAACAAAGTGAGTCAATGCGAACAAGAGTTGAAACCTGTCAGGGTCACTATACGGAAGGCGCTGAGTTGATTGACTCTGTGCTGGATGTGGTCCGAAAAGAAGCTGAGGGTTGTGATTGCTTACAGGGATTCCAACTTTGCCACTCTCTTGGCGGCGGCACTGGCGCTGGCATGGGAACATTGTTGATCTCCAAAGTGCGCGAAGAATATCCAGATCGCATCATGGAAACATTTTCCGTGATTCCATCTCCAAAGGTGTCCGACACAGTGGTGGAACCATACAATGCACTGTTCATTTGTTGAGCAAAACTTTTGGATTGCTTTCTGATTTTGCACATGAAGATCTGAGGGATGCTTTGTCCCAAAAGAACGGATAGAGTATGATAGAGTACATAACAATCCTTCAAAGGAATTGCTTTAGCTTGATTCTATGTCATAAGTCATACTCAAGTCACCCGAGCAACGTGACGAAGGCAGTGTTGAGCTTCCACCAGCTGGTGGAGAACTCCGATGAGTCCTTCTTGTTGGACAACGAAGCTTTGTACGATATTTGTTTCCGCACGTTGAAACTGACTACCCCAACTTACGGTGACCTGAACCATTTGGTGTCTGCGGCAATGAGCGGTGTGACCTGCTGCTTGCGCTTCCCTGGACAGCTGAACTGCGACTTGCGCAAGATTGCAGTGAACTTGGTGCCGTTCCCACGTCTGCACTTCTTCATGACAGGCTTCGCACCATTGACTTCTCGCGGTTCGCAGCAGTATCGTGCACTGACAGTGCCAGAGTTGACGCAGCAGATGCTGAGTCGTTGAATACCTTGCTTTTTGTGTTGGTTTTCTTTGGTTTTCTTATCTTTAAAGGCCACTCTTCCTTGCTCACTCACATATACAAAGGTATACATACGTACGTATTTATATATATATATACATACAATATATATATATATACACATACAATATATATATATATACAATTATATACATACATAATATATATATATAATTGCATATGGAAGGCGATTCATTCCCAAAGTACATGAGAAGGTTTAGATCAGCTTGGAAAAGATGTTGCAATTTTATCTCGAGAGTCCTTCAGAAAGCAAGGATGTTTGATGCCAAGAACATGATGTGCGCAGCTGATCCTCGCCATGGCCGCTACTTGACTGCGGCAGCCCTCTTCCGTGGACGTATGTCGACCAAGGAAGTGGACGAACAGATGCTGAATGTTCAGAATAAGAACTCGTCTTACTTTGTTGAGTGGATCCCCAACAACATCAAGGCATCCGTGTGCGATATCCCGCCAAAGGGCTTGAAGATGGCCGTTGCCTTTGCAGGCAACTCTACTGCCATTCAAGAAATGTTCAAGAGGGTGGCGGAGTACTTCACTGCCATGTTCCGCCGCAAGGCCTTCTTGCATTGGTACACTGGTGAAGGTATGGATGAAATGGAGTTCACTGAAGCAGAGTCCAACATGAATGATTTGGTCTCTGAGTACCAGCAGTACCAGGATGCTACTGCTGAAGAAGAGGGTGTAGATCGTTGGCTTTGCAGAAATTGTCCAGCGAGCTGTGGCCTCTCAAACAGTGGTCGTTTTCGAACTGTGCAATGCTTGGGTGACCAGGCCCATGCATTTGTTGCAACAAAGTCCAAAGGTTTTTCTTGTGAGAAATGCGGTGAGAAAGTTAGCTCTGAAAAGCAGATGATGGGAAAAATGACATTTCCTTGTCCCGGTCCTTCCACTAAGGAAGACAGTTTTGTCCATGATATCCCAAACAAGCCTGATGCCAAAGGTAGATATGTGTGCAGGAAGTGCAAACGTGGTTCTGTGAAGGGCAGCGTTTCCCGTTTTGTCAAGACTCTTTGTTATGGGAAACATGCTACGACAAGAAATGATGCCATCCGGGCCTCTCGCTGTGTTGCTGGCGTTTCCAAATCCGGACTGCCGGAAAATGTTGCACAGCGTTATCAGGCCTTCCGAAAGTGTGATGTTAACATGGAGCCTGACTAGGCTCCACTCCAAGGGTGCTCGTACGCTATGTTCTAAGCTACGACCACGCTATCCAGAGAAACTTGCTGAAGAAGAGGGTGAATTCGATGAGGAAGAGGGGGAATACGATGGATGAGCCAGGACCTAAAGTTGAACTTGGCAAATTCCTCATGGGATAGCCCGTCTCGGCAATCCTGCAGCCGACCGAGCAAGAAAAAGTATGATTCTGTCCATGAGCCCATGAGCTGTGTTGGTGCCATTGGTTGTCGGCCGTGCATTGCCAAGCATCAAAGTGACAATTATACATGTGTCACCCTCAACTAGAATTTCCTCTGGTGTCCCAGATCAGGGTGTAAATGCAGGCAATGGTTTCAGAGGTTCTTTTTTTTCTCAGCTAGACTTGGTGGAGTTGAAGAAGTGAAACGACCTTTGCACCTTAGTTTGGATCTTGGCATCTTTCTCGTGAGCCCTCAAGTACTAAAGCAGTCCGTGCCGTTCGCTTTCACTTGCAACTTTCTGAGAGCCATGCGCGAGCTCGTGCACGTCCAGGGCGGCCAGTGCGGAAATCAGATTGGTGCCAAGTTCTGGGAAGTCATTGCGGATGAACACGGCATTGACCCAACTGGAACATACCATGGAGACTCTGACCTGCAGCTCGAAACTTGGTAGCGGATGTTTGACGTGTGTTGAATGCTTTGAGCTCTAGATTCTTCGAGATGAGTATTAGTAGACATGGCAGATTGAATTCGAATGGAATTGACTAGACCCTAAGATAGAGTATCTAATTTGTGTCTTAGAAGGATGTTAGAGCATTGTTTCTGCAGTTTTTCTATGTTTTTCTTCTACGTGTATATCCTTGATGTCTGTGATTTGCTTTCCTTGACTGCATTGCTGCAAGGAGCGCATCAACGTTTACTTCAACGAGGCAACAGGTGGCCGCTATGTGCCACGTGCTGTTCTGATGGACCTCGAGCCAGGTGCATTGACCACTGCAAAGCTGAAGCATGATTCAAGATGTTTTCAGTAAGTACATCTCAGCTGACGTAGGGCAATGACTTTCGGCAGCACACTCACACATGTCTGATGTAGGAATTGAATGGAATTGATGTCTCATTGGAGTAACATCTGCCAACATTCTTGGTAACCAAAACCCGAATAAGCTCTGAGGTTTTTGTGTTGCTGTCTTGATTGCTTCAGACCGACAGATGTTGTTGCAGGCACCATGGATAGCGTTCGTGCCGGACCTTTCGGCCAACTGTTCCGCCCGGACAACTTCGTGTTCGGGCAGACAGGTGCTGGAAATAATTGGGCGAAGGCCAGGTTTGCAGCATTTTTGCATTGCTTCAAGTTGCTTTCATGGAACTCAGACGTTTTCAGGTTCTTGAAATCAAAGTGAAACAAAGTGAGTCAATGCGAACAAGAGTTGAAACCTGTCAGGGTCACTATACGGAAGGCGCTGAGTTGATTGACTCTGTGCTGGATGTGGTCCGAAAAGAAGCTGAGGGTTGTGATTGCTTACAGGGATTCCAACTTTGCCACTCTCTTGGCGGCGGCACTGGCGCTGGCATGGGAACATTGTTGATCTCCAAAGTGCGCGAAGAATATCCAGATCGCATCATGGAAACATTTTCCGTGATTCCATCTCCAAAGGTGTCCGACACAGTGGTGGAACCATACAATGCACTCTTCATTTGTTGAGCAAAACTTTTGGATTGCTTTCTGATTTTGCACATGAAGATCTGAGGGATGCTTTGTCCCAAAAGAACGGATAGAGTATGATAGAGTACATAACAATCCTTCAAAGGAATTGCTTTAGCTTGATTCTATGTCATAAGTCATACTCAAGTCACCCGAGCAACGTGACGAAGGCAGTGTTGAGCTTCCACCAGCTGGTGGAGAACTCCGATGAGTCCTTCTTGTTGGACAACGAAGCTTTGTACGATATTTGTTTCCGCACGTTGAAACTGACTACCCCAACTTACGGTGACCTGAACCATTTGGTGTCTGCGGCAATGAGCGGTGTGACCTGCTGCTTGCGCTTCCCTGGACAGCTGAACTGCGACTTGCGCAAGATTGCAGTGAACTTGGTGCCGTTCCCACGTCTGCACTTCTTCATGACAG